ATGATGAAGAACTCGAAAATGCTCCAAATCCCAAGATTCTCGGATCAAAATGTAGCCCTCAATAATCAACACACTTTTTACAAAGGCCCAAGGGTAGAAAATCACCCCTACTAGATCAATCCTAAGAGAGAAGGAAGAAGGTAGTGAGAGAAGCTCTCAAAAATGGCTTTTCGGAAAAGTAAGAGAGAGAGTGAGGATGTAAAAAGTGATTCAAAATAGCCTAGCTGTCAACTGATATGCGACATTCCCGCTCGAGCGGAGAACAGGACGCTCGAGTGTCAAGAACAAAAACTGGACCTGCTCGAGCACAAGAAGGCCCGCTCGAGCTCTCAGACACAAAAATAAAACACATCCGCTCGAGCGTAGATTATGCCATTCCAGAACTTTTACAAAAAGAGACTATCCGCTCGAGCGCTAATAATCCCGCTCGAGCGCGATCCGCTTGAGCGTGAAAAACACACCTGCAGAAGTTTTGCGGAGGCACGGAATACTGGGAGTGTGTAAACCCCGCTCGAGCGCAATAAGGCCCGCTCGAGCGGACCACCTGAAAACTGGGCAACAAGAAAGGAAACCAAAGCTCAACCAACCTATAACAACCATGCCCAACATTTCCTAAAACTTATATATATGAAATTAAAGGATAACCACAAGACATACACAACCACTAACTCCACGGAACCGAGTCCGGAATACAACAATCAAAGAAAGGGAAACCGGGATCGCTATAACCCATGTGTCCAATATTTCAAGAAAGATCCTTAAAATGAATAAAAGATGAGCTTCTTCTACAACATCCCCAATTTCTTAAATCAAAACCCATTTTCGAAATCAATCAAGGAAGAGTTCTCAAAAATAGTCAATCAAATGCTTGTAAAATGTATATATAACTTAAAGTGACTCCCTACCTCAAATCTTGAAGAAGAAAAGGATGAAACCTTAGCTTTGATGAAAGATTCTTCAACTTCCACTACACCAAGATGAGCCCTAGCTCGATCTTCAAGACTAGAGAGAGATGATAATGGATTTAGACCCAATGAATTACAAGAATCAAAGAGCTTTAGTGTTTGATGAGGGTTTTTAGAGAGAATGAGGAGGAAAATGGTGTTTAGAGTGAGAGGGAAATGCCCTAAATGTGCTACAAACAGGCCAAAAAGAGAAAAAAAAGAAAAAAAAAAAGGATTCGGACTGCCAGAATCTCGCACGTGCGGCGCCCTTCCCCGCATGTGTGGATCGCTCTTCCCCGCACATGCGGTGGTCCTTCCCGCACCTCACTTCGCTCGTGCCTTTTAAGTAGTGTGTAAACCTCTGAAGTTCACCCCCCCCGCACGTGCGGCCTCACTCCCCGCACGTACAGCCCCATCCTGCACGTGCGGTCTTGGCCTAGCAGTCTAGAATTTTCTGGTTCGATCCCTGGGCACACCGGGCTCGACCGTGCACCCTCCAGAACAAGTGAAATTTAACACTGAGCGAAAACAAGAACAAGAACTTTAATTTTGAGAACTATTTCCGGACGTTTCAAACCTAACGAGAGCTAAAGGAGGACGAAATGTAGAAAAAATGTAAGCAAATCAACTAATAATAACATAGAGATATTGACAAATATGTAGTACTTCTCTATCATCTTTGTATTATATTCATTAATTTCATATATCATATGAAAGTTTTACTCGTCTCAATCTTTCAATAAAATAAGGACCAAGAAAACAAATTTGATAAGTAATTGATTTTAAAGTTTATTATTGAAAAAACAAAAATTTCAAAGAGAGAATTTAGAGATGGGATTGAAGAAATACTATAACGAATGACAGCCTTACAAAAAAAAAAACACGACAATGATCTAATACAAACTATTTTTAATAACTAAAAGAAAGAATATCAAATTATTACCTTGGATGAATATAGTAACGAAAATTAATTTTGTGAGATTTTTGTGTTGCCTTCTCTCATGCAGCCTTCATTATTTCATTATTAGTACTCTTCTAATTCAGAGCGAACTAATTTCATTATCAAAACTCTTCTCATTCAGAGCCAATAAATTTTTAATTTTTTTTTATCTTTATCACTTGGTAGATAATAACGAATAATAAAAATTATCAAGAGAGGTTAAGAATTTAATAGGAGATAAGAAGTTATAGATAAGGGCATTTCATAAGATAAAAAAAAATATAGTTGTTATACATATCTGTTGGGAATGTGGATATAGCTTATATGCTTATCTGTGAATGTGGGATATAGTTGTTATACATATCTGTTGGGAATGTGGATATAGCTTATATGCTTATCTGTGAATGTGGGATATAGTTCTTATACATATCTGTTGTGATGGTGATAGAGCTAACATGCTTATCTATTGAAAAAGAGAAAATGAAAAGTAACTTGGACTCACAAGTCGTATGACATAAAAATGTGATTTATGTGGGTGTATCAGTGTTGGCCATCTATCAATTGCTAAATTTTTTACTCATTGTTCATGGTTGGGTTAGTGTATTTCTACTGGGCTGTGGCTCACCCTATATGGGAATATCATTTTCAGGTGCAGGTAGCATGCCACCTCCAAGGACATAGCTTGGGAGGCTAGATGCGAGCAGATATTTGCTGTTTAGTTTCTTTTGATGTATTACATGTATATTCAAGCCAAGGGCTTAATGTGTAGATGAGTTAACACTCTTTTGTTGTAACCAAGTGTTAACTTGGAAAACTGTAAGCCCGTAGGACATTTTGCTTTTGGTTTTAACATGTAATATTCTTGTAATGAAACTTTGATGAATAGAAGAATGTGGAACTTTTATATATCAATGCATGTCTATATTGATGGGTTTAATGTTATTATTTGAGGGCGTTACAATCTTTTCTTGGGAATCAAACTTTGGGAAGAAGTTCTATACCCATAGAAGTTAGGGTTTATGAATTATTATCGTAGTTTAACTTATTCCATGAAATTAAAAACCTAATCATGGATCTGGTCAATAGAAGGTTGATTTTTGAATTTGGGGTTGTTTTGAGTAGTTTGAGAGGATATACCTTCTAATCATCAAGTTTTGCTTGTTTTGAACCCTACATGTCGTATCTCCTTGATAAGCCGTGAAAAGATGAAATGATATGAAAATTAAAGTAAGTTATAATTTACTTGAGCTTAGGGTTCATGTTTAGTATGATTGTATGTCATATTGTTGAAGTGAAATTGTTTGGATCAAGCCTTGAGCATGCCTTGAAAACAAAGCTTGAATTTATTACAGCTTCGGACTGTCAAACAGGGTACACGACCGCATGTGCGAGGCCCTTGGCTGCACATGCGGGAGACACAACCACACGTGCTGGCTTACAGCCGCACGTGCGGAAAACAGGGGAGGAAGATTGGGCTACACTGTAATAAAAGCACGTGCGGATTGCACGTGCGGCGCACTTGCCCGCAAGTGCGGTGGGGACTTCCACACGTGCGGCCCAAGCTGAAAAATTCTGTAACCTTCTTTTGTTCTATTTAACCCTCAGAATGTGTCAAAATATCCATTTGATGTTTCTTTAATGCATTTAATTACGTGGAAGTTAACGAACCGAACGTCTGGGAAATAAAAGGAAATTAAGGAAAAGTGATATACTTGATGTACTTACAAATCGTATGCTTTGTGTAGGGCACGTACAGGAGGGGACCATCGTTCATCCATATCACTATGAGTGATAGTAGAGTAATGTTATGTTTCATTCTCGTACTATGTTTATATGAATGGTTCGATACCCTATTCACTCCTTTAGTAAAAAGACATATGCTATATAAATAACATATGTTATATGAGATCTGTTTGAGATATGTTTGAACTTTGGCACATGAGATATGGACCCGAGGTCGTTCTGGTTGCTAGTATGATGGGCCCGAGGTCATTTTGCTAAACTAATGGACCTAAGGTCATTTTGCATTTCGTTGGGCCCGAGGCCGTTTTGCTATTATAATGGGCCTAAGGCCATTCTGTATTACGTTGGGCCTAAGGCCGTTCTGTCATATGTGGACCCGAGGCCATTCAGAAAAGGAAATACGAACAAGACTGACTTGTGATTATGAATATGCACTGTTAACTTATGCTTGTACTCTTGATCTATGTATATTACTATCATTCACTAAGCCTTGCTCACTCCATTTTTTTGTGAATGTTTTGTAGGTAATCAGCCCGCGGGACAACCGTAGGTCAGCCCAGGAGTTTTTTTGCCATACCGTTTTGCCGAGTCACCCAAAGTGACTCTTTGCTTAATTTTGGGAAATCTATATGTTAGCATGTTTTGTTGGAATTAGGAGGAATATACGTGTATACGCTTTGACATTACCTAACTTTTTAGTGGTTATCTTTTGCACAGAAACCGTAATGTAAATGGTGTATGGAATGTTATGTACTTATGTATGGTAATGCATTAAGATCCTGGCATGTAGTCACAGCTCAATGAATGTTTGATTCTATTATTTTGCTTCCGTTCTGGCCCTAATATTGAGTAAAATTTATTATAGCAAAGTTGAGACCTCAAGTTAGGCCGGTCATGTCCAAACTTTTAGGGGCAAGTTTGGGTCGTGACAGTTGGTATGAGAGCACGAGTTACTACCTCATGCACGAGTTCATTGAGCTTTAGAGCGTCTAGAAAAGACTTAAGTTACATGCATGTAATTTTTGGTGCGTACCAAATGATGTGCAGTAGCTAGATTGTGCATGTAATAATCACTGATACATATGTATACTTTGGTAATGACTACGGCCCATGCCTACTTGTGTTTTTTTTTTATATATGTATTATAACTAATTGTTACGTAGATCATGGTGAGGACATGGAAGGATGATCCAAAAGATGCTACTTTCGTACGGTTGGATAGAATGGAAAGGATGATTATGGAGATGGAAAAAACCTTGAGGCAACAACAGCAGCAGCAACAACAACCACCACCAGTACCTGTACCACCGCCAGAGGTACAAGATTAACAAGCTAAGGACCGAACAATTACGCTCACAAGGGAATTCAAGAAGATGAAGCCGCCCTCGTTCAAAGGGGGAATTGAACCAATGAAAGCAGAAGCGTGGGTGTTGGGTATAGAAAAGTTATTCGAGGTTTTTCCTTGTACTGAGGCCCAAAAAGTGCAACTTGATGCCTTCACTCTTGAAGACGAGGCACGGAGGTGGTGGATGCTCACAAGAACTGCACACCAAGGATTGCCATGGGCTAGATTTTTGGAACTGTTTTATGAAGAGTATTTTCCCCAATGTATGCGAGACAAAAAAGTGACCAAGTTTGAGACCTTGAGACAAGGGAACAGAACTGTTGTAGAGTATGAGGCTCAATTTGCCGAATTGGCCCGTTTCGCACCCCATATGGTAGATACAGACTACAAGAAGGTAAGAAAGTTTGAAGGGGGATTACGGACTGCTATTCTCGACCGGATCAATGTGTTGAAATTACCTACATATGTTGATGTGTTGGAAAGGACAGTAATCGCTGAGGGTAATATTGTCGCTCAAAGCCGGGTCTTGGAATAGAAAGGGAAAAGATAGAATACCCAAGCCTCAAGGGGTTCGGTGACACCACCAAGTAAGAAACTGAATTCGAGAACCTCTAGTACATCCGCCTCTACCCGTGACACTGCACCAATTTGTCCGGATTGTGGAAAGAGACACCGTGGGATTTGTTATCTGGTAACAGGGGCATGCTTCAAGTGTGGCAAGACAGGTCATTTAGCCAGAGAATGCCTACAAAAAGATCGTCAAAATGGGAACAAGACTACCACAAGTTCAGCTGATTCAACTCCGACTCCAACTCCAACCACAAGGGCAGCAACGAAACCCGTCAATGCTAAAGATACTGCTAAATAGGGAAGAGTATTTGCGCTAATTTCGGGGGGCGTGCAGAATATCGAGGTTGTGGTATCCGGTATTTTCTCTGTTAATGGTTATTCCGCACGTGTTATTTGATTCGGACTCTACCTGTAACGCCCTCAAAATAAACCCATAATAACCATAACATTAACATGCATTTAGAAAAGAAAACGAATCATTTGAGTTATTCATCAGAGTATTCTTATTGAAAGACATCACATGTAACATCCTGCAACATCAAAATAAATGCCCTAAGGGCTTACATCTTTCCAAGCTAACACTTGGACATGAACTTCCATTTTTAATTTTCTGCAACATCCATTTTTTTTTTATTTAACTTCCTTTTTCATTCAAGTTTCTTTTCTATTAAACTTCCTTTTTTATTTAATTTCCAAATAGGTCGTTATGGTATAGTGGTTTTTGGATTGTATTTCCATTTTTAATTTGATGCAACTTTCGTTTTTATTTTTATTCAACTTCCATTTTTTTTCAATTTACTTTTCTATTAAACTACATTTTTTATTTAATTTCCAAATAGATCGTTAAGGTAAAGTGGTTTCTGGATTGAACTTGTCACGCCCTAAAAAATAACCCATTATATATATCATTGACATGCATTATTTAAAGAAAACACTTTAATAATTCATTATTCATCAGAGTCTTACTAAACAAAAGCATTACATGTAACATCAAATTAAATGCCCTACAGGTTTACATCTTTCCATGCCAACACTTGGACACAAAAGCATGAGTTCTAACTCAATTACAAATAAAGCCCTAGGCTTGAGTGTTTACATGTACTAACAAATAAAAGCAAACATCTGAAAATAGTCTTCAGAATCCAAGTCCTTCCAAGCTAAGTCCTTGGAGGTAGCTTATCACCTGAACCTGAAAATGATGTTCCCATAAAGGGTGAGCCACAGCCCAGTAGAAATATACTAAACCACATATAAGCAATGAATAAAGCAATAGCATCCAACAAATGGTTAACCAAGATAATCAATTACTTCATTTTACAGTCTCATGACACAATTGTCTAAGACACGTTCTACTTTCCAATTTAATCAACATGGCTCAGAACCTGGCCAAACTTACAACAGTGAACTATATATATATCATATTCACATTCTTCCAATATCAACAAACAAATGAGACTCATGCTCATATCAAAACACTTCATACTTCCCATTTGATACACATTTTAGTGCTGTATCAATAATCATGTAAAAACACTTCAATATAATAAGCACACATAAAAATGGTGCTAATGGAGTCCATCCCCTATCTCCTCCCAAACAAAATCCGGTTTAGAGGTCCATCCCCTATCTTCCCCTAAACCGTGGAGTACATCCCCTATCTCCTCCCACACACAAAACAATGTATGCAAATGCAATGCTCAATCAATACACGTAATTTCTGTATCAATGCAATAGTCCAAATTAATGACTTAACCAATGCGATTAGTTTCAGTTATTCCTAATCCACATGCAATGTCTACAACAATCACGACTATCCTCCACCGATAGCCCAAAACAGTTATTTCTAGACTGGAAATAAATATGACAACAATTCACTAGGCGAGTGGTTTAAATTATCCCACCACACCATTTAATCAATAATTTCCACAATTTCATGAATTTAACCAAATTCCCCAATTCCCTTTAATTAATTATACAAATTAATTAATTAACACAACTAGGGTTTTTCCCAAAATTATCGAAGTAACCCCAACTTATCAAAATACCAAAACTTAGAACAAAACTTATAAAGTGGAGTAGGAAATCCCTACCTCGAAGAAAACAACCCAAAAGGAGAAGACAGAGATGATACCCAAATACCAAAGTGCTCCAAATCGCCAACTATTTAGATTAAATAGAAGCCCTCGACTCACTCTATCTTTAATGAAGGATCTAGGGTAGAAACACTCCCTAAGTGGATCAAATCTAAGAGAGAAGGTGAGTAGGGAGAGAGAGAAGTTCGCCAACTACTCAGATTAAATGGACGCCCTCGACTCACTCTATCTTTTTAATGAAGGATCTAGGGTAGAAACACACCCTAAGTAGATCAATCCTAAGAGAGAAGGTGTGTAGAGGAGAGAGAACTCGTAACTAGGGTTTTGGAATATGAAAGTGCAAGAAAAACAGATCTGAAACACGCTGCTGCCTATTTAAACCTGACAGGCTCGCTCAAGCGAATACTTGGTCGCTCGAGCGACCAGACACAGAAAATCTACGCTCAAGCCAAGGGAGCCTTGCTCGAGCCAACAACACAAAAGCTCACTCGAGCGAAAGAAACTCGATCGAGCGAAGAACTCAAACCCACAGGTCTGCAATCAGACACATGCTCGAGCTAAGGAACTATCGCTCGAGCGAAGAACGAACTAACTCGCTCGAGCAAAGAAAAGCTCGCTCGAGCCAAAAACCTGAACTCTCAGGTCTAACTCAAAACGCAACCCTCGCTCGATCGAAGCTATCTTGGCTCGAGCGAAGGACCAAAACAAAGAGATCGCTCGAGCGAAGAACTTCTCGCTCGAGCGAAGAGTCAAAATTCTGGGCAGCAACACTGGATCTCTAAACCCAACCAACCTGAAACAAACCTGCCCAACACATCCTATAACTCCAAATGAGAAAATAAAGGACAACAACAACAATTATACAATCGTCTTTGTTTGTTTCCTTCATTAGGATGTCAGGACGAGGACGAGGACGCGGTAGGCGTGGTAGGCCGGGTAGGCAGGAGGTGCCTGTGCCAGAGGAGATTCCGACAGTTCAAGAAGGTATTGGCCAGGCCAATGTGGCCGAGCCAGTAGGCCAGCAGGCTATGGGCGCTCTAGCGCGAGAGATAGCAGGGGCATTCAGGGAGTCAGTAGGCATTCTCAGAGCTGAGAATCAAGCTCGGGATGTTGCTGCAGATGCAGGACCTTCCTTTCTCAGAAGGGAGTTCTTCTGGTCTAATCCGGATGAATTTGTGGGTGATCCTAAAGAGCCGCTTAAGGCAGATGAATGGCTCGAACAGACAACGAAGACGTTTGAGATGCTTGGCATCGAAGACGAGGGGTTGAAAGTGACCTTGGCATCTTTCCAATTGAAGGGGGATACGGGTCAGTGGTGGAAGTTTACTAAGGGTCGTATAGGAGGTACATGGGAAGCTTTTGTGAATGCTTTCCAGGAAAAGTTCTTATCTCCAGCAGTTAGGGAGAAGCTGAGAGACCAGTTTTGTCAGCTTAAGCAGGCGAGTTCTTCTGTGGTTGAGTTTGAGGCTACATTCACTAGTTTGTCCAGATTTGCACCTGAGCTGGTGGCGTCTGAGGAACGCCGTTGCATTGAGTTTGAAAAGAAGTTGAGGCGTGGCCTCAAGCTGAGAGTTGGAGGAACTATGATTCGGGATTATAGGCGTATGGTTGATGCTGCAGCCCAAACCAATGTAATGATGCAGGAGGAAGAGGAAGGACAGAAGGGCTCCAAGAGGAGTCAGGATAGTCAGAGTGATGGTAGGAGACAGAAGGGTTTTAATCCTCAGCAGTCTCAGGGTAGCTTTTCTAGATCGACTTTTCCTGTACCGAGTGCTAGTTCGGGGAAAGGCAGTCAAGGAGACATTACCTGCTTCAAGTGTGGCCAGCTGGGCCACAAATCTCCAGTTTGTCCTCAGAGAGGAGGAGTGCAAAAATAATCCAAATAGGGTATGCTGACCAACCAGTTGCATTGGGGATAGTTTTTCAATCTATTGGAGGCTAGTATTAGCCATTTGTTCTAGTGAGAATCACTCTGAAGAAACAACTATCATCAAAAGCCATTTATATTATTACTGAGTTCAATCTTTCAGGTAGGAGGGATTGTTCATTCTTTTAGACTTTAGGGCCACCCAAAAACCAAAAGAAAAGGGAATGTTCATTCAGAAAAGTGGAACCAAAGGAAAAGTTAAAACAATGAACAAACAACTTCCTAAATAAATTATGGTTGAATCTTCTCACGGAGGGATTCTACCTCAAGGTCACCTCTCTGAGCCTCTAACACTCGTGTCACAAGTGTAGGTTGCGCAACAACAGAAAACAAGGTCGCAGCCTCAACGGATTCTCCCAGAAGCAAATCAAACTCTCCAAGTGCACCTAACATCTCCCACTCTCGGATGGCTATACTAGCTATGTCACCAACAGGTTTCCTGCTATGGGCGTCGGCCACCACATTGGCCTTTCCCGGATGATAATGCAATTCAAAGTCATAATCCTCAATAAATTCCATCCACCTCCTCTGCCTCAAGTTCAAGTCTTTCTGTGTGAACAGATATTTCAGACTCTTATGATCCGAGAATACCTCGAACCTCTCACCGTAAAGATAATGTCTCCAAATCTTCAAGGCAAATATCACAGCTGCTAACTCTAAATCATGCGTAGGGTAATTCTTCTCGTGAACTTTTAACTGACGTGAGCCATAGGCAACCACGTTTCCTTCTTGCATCAACACACAACCAAGACCCTCTCGTGAGGCGTCACAATAGACTGCATAACCCAACCCTCTCTCCGGAATAATTAAGACTGGAGCAGTCGTCAGTCTAACTTTCAACTCCTGAAACGACTTTTCACAAGTCTCACTCCAAACAAATTTGACTCCCTTCCGAGTCAATCTAGTCAAAGGCGAAGCTAATCTGGAGAAATCTCTTACAAACCG